TTTTGTGCAAAAAACTTCACAGGATAGCTAAACATAATTTTTAAAATACAAACCTCAAATGTTACTGCAAATAAATACGATTCCTTCAACTTGGCTTCACTTGAATCTGAACAATTTTGGGCAAATTTTCGAGTTCTGGAAGGGATGTCTTCCATACCTCCTTTACTTTTTTGGATTTCCTTCATAGTATAATCAACATTAGAAAGCAGTTTGGTTCTGTCTTTCGTAATGGCATAGGATATTCCTTCGCAATGAGACTTCTCCCAATTTCCCCAAAATTAATGGCCATTTCTTTTAATACGCCTGAATAAAATGGTGATTTTCCTAACTAAAAGGCTTTCGCAGAATTCCATCAACTGAATGAATCAAAATATTGTTACTAAATATATGCTTAAGTACTAAGTCAAAGTTCATTATGAAAGTTGCATGGTCTTTAGCGACTACTTTACACTAATACCTGCCTCCCTTGGTTGCCATTACTTACTGTAATAATAGCTTCCGTCATTTCGCCTGCGATCTAAAGGCAGCTCATGAAACCCGTACACCCCCACTCCATGATCCACGTACACAGGATTCTCCATGACAGTTTTTCAAATGAAGTTGGTCATGCCCTGACCCAAGCCAACCCGGGGGCACATAATAGTTCAGTTGGTATAACTTGCTCTACGGAAGCAGTTAAAATCAGATACGTACGAATGAAATATGACGCAGGGGGCAGGAGCAGTCTGTCCCTAACTATGCAGGGAATAAAGCTTTCCTAATGTGGCCTCTATGGCACTCCTACACAGCTGGGAGCCGAACCAGGTGGAGCGGCTACGGCTGTGCCAGTCACCTGCGCCCATCCTCGCTTCCGGTCTTCTTGACTCTGTATTGACACCAAACATAGGTGGGGGGGGGAGGAGAGAGTGCGGTAGGTGTGGCGCAAGTCGCCCACCACTTAAAACTAAGCCCAAGCCTAAGTCACCGCGCTTGCATTCAGCTTGCTCCAACCCCCGCGGTTGACATTGTCGTAACCGAAGCTTGAAGGGTATAAATGGATCGTTTTTGAGCGTCAAAATACATGGAACTGTATGCCGCGCACTCAATTTAGTCGAGTAGAGAAACCACAACAGTAAGGCATCTGATGGGTCACTTTGGGGGAACTTTTTCAGCAATAATGCTTCATTTGTGCTTGTGACCGTTTCCGATCGGAATGAACAGACCTGCTCCTTCATATAAGTGTTCGTCTTCTAGCATTTCCGCAGGATATGTCCGACAGATTTTCTTTGTTAACCAACAAATCAGACTACCCCTCTGGCTCGATGAAATTCACCAGAATTAAGCAAATCTGTAACTCTCCTAACGATTAAGTGAGCCTAATAGTCATTCTGGTGAATTCTAGACGATTGCTTAGGAAATCCTGTCTGGGCAGTCAGCTTGCTGTTCCGTAATGTCGGATTCCATAGGAGCAGTAAGTTGAGCCGGTAAAATTGATCCAAATTTGATTAACTTCACGGCACACGGTGAACCTCGTAGCTTGTAGGTCGTAGAGTGTTGGCTACACAAAAGCCTTCCCTGCTGTGTGGGTTGGACGTCTACCGAGGCCGCGAATTTTTCACAATTAGGTTAACTGAAATTCAACTGTGTCATATTTTTATGCTGCTTAAACAATCATCTGTTTTGGTTTTCTGCTTCTGACACGCATATTTTGCAGGTTCTGAGCTGCTGCTGTTACCCGTGTTTTATTTATTATTAACATATTATTGATTCCCCTTTGAAGGCTTGTGAATATTAGAAGGTTACTCAGCCTTATTTTGCGGATTTCAGCTCCATAATGTGTTATAGATTTCCGATCGAGCTTGAACAGTTTTGTTCCGAGAAGTATTCTTCAAGTTCGGGCATTAAATTCCGTGGAAATTAAAAAAGGCAAGAAAGCGGATGGTCTGATTTATGTTGTTCCGTCTTGACATAGGCTCTTTCAAGTGGACATTAATGCAAGCAATTGCCATGGCATGGTCGCCATACCTGCCAGTTTAACTGATTTATTTTATCCAGAAGAAATCTGAAAAAAAGGATATGATTCTTCGTTGGAATTTCAAAAGTCTTCTGATAAGCAAGAGTCACACAACCTCCTGCTAATTTATGGGCGATTAGGTTTTTGAACATAAGGATTCCTGCGCCAAACTTGCTTACCAGACCCGGATGTGAAATGCGTTAATGAACTTTTTCCTTGTGACAAATGATCGACGTTTATAAACCTGCCCAGGCGTCATATGGACGATTCTCTTTTGCCTGCCACCCACACAAGCAGATGCATAAAGACGAACCTGAGTTTTAGTTGGGGACATAAATCGCTAACGATGACAAATGAGATAGAAATGGCCACTACAGTCTCCCTTGAACTTTTCGGTGTAGGTCGGTTTGAAAATCTAGAAAATTTCCACCGGATTCTTTAGTATCCGTTTCCGTAATTTTGACTGTCTATTTCTGGCCGAACTGACGCTAAAAATTTAACAAAACTGTTGATAACATTATATATGTATATATATGTAACAAGAGACTGTAGCTTGCTAACAGTAACAGCCTGGGGTAAGTTCAGTACACTGTCGCTCAGCACGGCGAGGAGCTCATACAACAATCAATGACTGGATGTCCGGGGGATTGACAGAAGAGGTGGTAAGTTGGCCCGGTCAGAAATGCGATGACGACTTTGATGGGGGTCTTCAAGCTGGGTCAACTGTTTGACTTGCAGGAGTGACGGGGGAGGGGAGATCGTCGCATGCGGATGGGGAGAATCCACTCAGTGAGGCCTTTTTTTCCGCTTCACGCTTCATTTCCTCGGCCTTTGCACGCACATCGATAACTGTTCGGCACGGCTCTGTGGAGGGGAAAACGCGTATTTAGAAAATCAAAATTCGGATAGAATGTATTAACGCCCACTGGTTGATGAAAACACATACACGCAAAATGACACATTTCAATAAACACTTTTTCAGCCATATGTTCGAAAAGGTCTATTTATTACACAATACTATACATATTTATATACATATGACTGGGAAGAGTTCGATATATACGTTCCCCAAAAAGCAGGCATGTATCTGAATCAACGCCTTAGGCAACTGCCAGGCAATTGCACATGCAGGGGACAACAGAGTATATCTCTATCCTTCTTACAAAACAAATGTGTACCTACGAAGTCAAACCTTCCAGTCCTAGAGTATGGAGCCAATACTTCATACTTCTGAGCATTATTATTTGATGGGCAAAGCATGCCAATTTATGATGACGCCACCGTTTAATCTGCCCACTCCATCTCCGGATCTCAATCCACTTTAAAACTTCGGAAATTTAATTGTAGAAGATTAGTCAGGCGCCCGAACCAAGTGTTTATTTGCAGAAACTGTCAAATTCAGGTACAAGCCTAAACGCGGGATATGATAACAATAACAACTACTTCTTCATTAACCTTCACACAGACCATTTTGTCACGCGGAATCGGGTGTCCCAAACTACGATTGGGGTACATATAAGACCATTAGCAGATATGCGTACACCGAGCTGCTAGAGGACACACTCGTCCGTCCATGTTGCCATTAGAGCTCTCACTCGAGCCT